GTCCAGTAGATGTCCTACTAGAGCAAATGAAGCTTCAAGACGCTTTGCGCTGGGGTGAACCAATTGGATGAAAAGCTTCAGTGCTTCATGAAGCTTCATCTGCCCATCACTAGAAGAGAGACCTGAACATACTAACAATTACTTCAAAGTTTAAAACCCGCAGCTGTGCATCTGCCATGTTAGAAATTAATAGCCACAAAAGTAATAATTTAAGCCATTAGAGCACCTTTGCTGCTTCTGGTTACTGTATAATCTATTCTTCTTAGAGCTGTAGGTGTTGTTTGTCTCGTGACGTTTCGATCGATACAGTTTACTTGCTGTCCACAGGGTGTCCCGGTTTCCTTAAGTTACAATGCGCTCCACTAACAAAGGGACTGCACCAACACATTTAAAACAATTCCTCAAAATGTTTTAAGGCTATATTCGACTTCCCGTAACTGACAATACTGGAGAGGAAACTGTCTCAAAGGACTGATTCATTACTATAATTGTAGGGGGGTGTGAACAAAACTTTAACATCTGACCTGACGAACACTCCTCTGTCTGACTCGTTATTGTTTCCTGAATGTGCCCTCGGCTCCAACCGACTAACAGAAGGAAAAACAGGATTTCTTACAGTTTTCGGTTTGTTTATTCCTCCCGGAGGTGCCATGCTGACCAGCTCACGTGGAACACAGACTTCTTCTTCTGCGCTCTAAATCCTGGCTGTCCTCAGGCCACACGGCTCCTCACTGCCCCCAGCAGTCGTGACGAAACATTACAACGAAGCCCGGAGTTCAACGGTAAAACACCGTCACTTAAAAACAAGAAATTACAACTTTTATCTCAGACATAGTTTACACACAACGATAAAAAATATGAACGTATAAATTATTCTTCTTGTTAGTATTAATAGCATTACTGTGCATAACTTTCAGAATTATTCTTAAACTACATTTTTTATAGCATTTAAAATATATTCACAATTTTTAATTGGACAGGTCAAGTGCAGTTTATTTATTTATTTAGTGCTAATCAATTTTGCAACATTTTACTAAGCAACAACGAAGTAAACAAAGGACTACAAAAAGTTTGACAAAACAGTTACAGGCAAATGATTAAATGAATGAAACAAATAAAAAGAGTTTATTTTTTTTTTCTTAAATAAAAGTTTCACACAGCCAGTTTTTAACATTTAGTAGCTCAACGCTCACCTCCGGTGGCTACATTGGCATAATACAACCCCACACATACACATGGATCATAATTAAAAATATATAAACTTCTTATATGTTGCCATTAAAATGTAGATCAATAACCACAAACATTCACATATTTTAGAGCAATTTTGTTGACTTTTA